TCCTGCAGCCTCCGCTTTCCCCGCCCGCTCCCGGGTCTCCTCCTCCATCCCTCATTCCTCCTCTTTCTCACTGTGAGCGCGCAGTGACTGCAAGACCACCTTTCACCACCACCACCACCACCACCACCACCACCACCACCACCACCACCACCACCACCACCACCACCACCACCACCTCCTCTGTCTCCTCCTCCTTCTCCTCCTCGTTCTTGGCACACCTCGTTGTAATCCAGAGCATCCAGAGACTCATCCTCCTCCCTTTCCTTCTCCTCCTCCACCTCCTCCTCCTCCTCCTCCTCCTCTGGTGAAGAGGGAGGACGGTACGCCCTTCAGTGGCGTGGGCTCCTCTTCCTGCTCCTCCTCCTCTTCCTCCTCCTTTCTCCTCATCCCCCTTCTCCTCCTCCTCCTCCTCCTTCGACTTGGTTGGGGGGAGCATGAGGCGTGACCCCCCAAAACCACCCCACTCCAAGCAGCGTCCCAAGCAGCGTGCTCCTCCTCTTTCTCCTCCATCTCCTTTTTCCTTTTCTTATTCTTCTTATCATTATGGTTATTCTTATGCTATTTTGATCATTATCATTATGTTCCTTTCTTCTCTCCCCATCCCCCACCCTCGTCCTGGGTCTCCTGCTATCCCCCACCCTCCCCACCTCCTCAACCACGAGGCCCGCACGACAGCGAATCCTCACAGCAGGATAGCGACAAGGAAGCCGCTCGGAGGCCATTTGTTGCTGCATGCCCTACAGTGTGGGCCAGCTCTTCGCCGTCCTCCTTCCCCTGACCCCCCCCATTCCCCATCCTCCCTCTGTCTCTCATCCTCGCTTCCTCGCTTCCTCTTCCCCACTCATCCTCGTCACCCTTCCCCTTCTTCCCCAACTCCTCCTCCTCGTCCCTCGCCGTCGGCGTCGCCGTCCTCGTCGTCGTCACGCTTGAAGCCTCACAGGTTAGCTGGAACGTCTGAGGGTACCCTTAACAAGCTGCGTCTCTCCAGAGGACGACTTGCGTGCGCGACGTCTTGGGCTGCCAGCTGGTCCTGGAGCGCACAGCCCGCCTGTACGTAGACAGCTGCTCCCCCTCCTCGGAGCATCGAGCCCTTCTTGCCATACGTCCGGGAATTGTTGGGCAGCGTGCCCTTCTGCGGGTGCTGGGCCACCGCGCTTCGGCGCGACAGGCTATCCAGGGTTTATGGTTTAGGGTTCAGCGTGTAGGGTTTAGGGTTTAGGGTTTAGGGTCTACAAGCTCTGCCGCAGCTGATCCCCTCCTGCCTAGGAGCCCACCTGCGGTGGCTGCCAGTCCCACCCGCAAACCACCCGACCAGAAAGATCATCTCTCCCCTCGTTGTAAGTACAACGAATGGGAGCGCCTGGGAGCGCTTGGGCGCGCCTGGGAGCGCTTGGGAGCGCCTGGGAGCGCCTGGCAGCGCCTGGGAGCGCTTGGGAGCGCCTGGAAGCGCCTGGGAGCGCTTGGGAGCGCCTGGGAGCGTTGTGAGCGCCTGAAACACCATGGAAGTCATATGGTAAAACACAGGATTCTGCGACAGCGGCGCACTTGGTCAAGAAAGTCTCATAGGTTTATGAACGCATGTTCAGAACATATTACTGTTGCAAGGGGTGGCGAAGGTCTACGTCCGCGGACGCGCATTTGCATTGTAAATCGCAATGGATTATGCACGCACGATCACAACATATTAGTTTTGCAAATGATGGCGAAGGTTTACGTCCGCGGACGCGCATTTGCATTTTAAATCGTTATGGATTGTGCACTCATGAGCAGGACATATTTGTTGCAAGGGATGGCGAGGGTTTACATCCAGTGCTGCCAGGAAATAGTTTTTCTTGCAATGGATTATGGGCTCAGGAGTTCGGATGACGGTTGGAACGCATGGAGCCAGGATGTTCAGGGTTTAGTAGCCAAAAAATTAAGGATTTACGGTTTTTCCCCAATCAGAGCTTGCCTCTGTAGGGGCCCTAGCGGATTAGGATTAAAGGGGAAGGTGAGGTTTGTCGCCGATTTCGGTGGCCGGGCCCGAGTGCCTGGGTGCCCGGGTGCCCGGCGGTGCCCGGGTGCCCGGGTGGCCGGTGAGGTGCGTGGCCGATTCCGGTGGCCGGGCCCGTGTGCACGGGTGCACGGGTGCCCGGGGGTGCTCGGGTGCCCGGGGGTGCCCAATAGCCCAGTAGCCCCATAGCCCTATAGCCATATAGCCCTATAGCCGTATAGCCCTATATTCCTGTAGCCCTAAAGCCTTATATCCCCGTAGCCTTAATAGGCTCATATCCCTATAGCGCGATAGCCCTATAGCTCTATAGCCCCATAGCCCTATAGCCCGATAGGTCACAGTCCTATAGCCCGATAGCCCTATAGCCCCATAGCTCTATAGCCCATAGCCCTATAGCCCGACAGCCCTATAGCCCTATAAGGGAGCAGTTTGAATATTTAAAACATCGGATTGGGTTTTGTTTCCGGTATCATAGGGTTTAGGATTTAAGGTCCACTAGCCCAAACA